ATTTGGTGCATAGATATTTATTATTGTTATGTCCTCTTGTTCTATTGACACTGTAAGCATTATGTAGTGACCTTCCTTGTCCTTTGTGATTGTTTTTACATTGAAGTTTATTTTATCAGAGATTAATATCACTACTCCTGCTTTTTTCTGGTTGCCATTTGCTTGATATGTTTTTCCCATCCTTTTATTTTTAGTCTTTTTTTATTTTCATTTTTCAGGTGTGTCTCTTGTAAACAGCATATTGATGGATTTTGGGGTTTTTTTAACCCAATCTGCAACTCTTCTTCTCTTCAGTGGTGCATTCAAACCATTCATATTCAGTGTGATTATAGAAAGGCAGGGTTTTGTTGCTATCATTTTGTTGAGTTCTTTTTCGTGTTGTTGCTAGTTATTTTGGCCTGTGCTACTCTCTATGGTACCTCTGTAAGAAGGACATCTCTCAGTTTTTCCTGCAGTGTTGGTCTTGTTTTTACAAACTCCCTTAGGTTCTGTTTCTCTGGGAATATCTTGATCTCTCCTTCATATTTGATGGATAATTTTGCTGGGTACAGTATTCTTGGTTGACAGTGTGTTCTTTGAGTATTTGATATATGTACTTCCACTGTCTTCTTGCTCGCATGGTTTCTGCTGAGAAATTGACACTCTTTTCTCTTCTCCCTTATAGGTTACTCTTTGTTTCTCCCTCGCTGCTTTCAGAATTTTCTCCTTATCTTTGGTTCTGGCAAATTTATAATATGCCTTGGTGTTTTTCTTTTAGGGTCTATTCTATATGGTGTTCTCTCAGCTTCTTGAAGATATATTCTCTCATTCTTCATTATGCCTGGGGAGTTTTCCTCTAGTACTACTTCCACAACTTTTTTGGTGCCTTTACTTGCTTCTTTCTGTTCTGGGATTCCGATGATGCCCATGTTATTTCTCTTGATGGAGTCCCACATTATTCTTAGGTTTTCTTCTTTTTCCTTCCTTTTGATTCTGCTTTTTGCTCTAGAAGATCAGTAGTGACAATTCTATTTCACTGGTTCTGTGTTCCATCTCTTCAACTCTGCTCATGTGTCCCTCCATCATATGCCCATAGTAAATGATGTAAAGTGTCACTATCCTTGTCTCTAAGAATCACTCTCGATGGACTTACTTCAAGATACATTTGTTTGTTCATTTGGCAGTTCATGGGATAGTCAATATTTTTCACCAGTACTAGAATTCAAAGATGGTGATTCTTCTTCAGCCCTTCTTATTCATTTCCCAACTTTCAGCTATATATGAAGCTATTGAAAATATGATAGCTTAGTTCAGGCACACCTCTTTGCTCTTTAGAACTTTGGAGAAGTTCTTGAAAACAGATTTTCCCAATTCAACATATCTTTTGATTTCTTGACTGCTACTACCATGGATATATATTATGGACTCTAGTAAAATTAAATAATTGAAAACTTCAATCTTTTCTTCATCTGGTATAATGTTGCCTTCTAGTACAATGGTGAGGACTTTTGTTTTCTTGATTTTGAGGTGTAACTCACATTGAAGCCTGACATCTTTGTGGTTGTTTTAAATGATTTTGTTTTATACTGGTTTGCTTACAAAGTTCATATACATTGTATTTCACACTGAATCTTTCCCATTTCCTTTACTCACCCCTCCCTGTACCCATCAAATTGTGTGACCCTATGATTACTCCCCTGCCTAACCTTAACCTTCTGTTCCTATCATCCCCCCCAACTTGGATCCTTGTACACATTTTGCTACTTATCTTTATATTTCTACAATAATAGTCTTCTACAGTATTTGTCTTAATGCAACTAATTAGTTCACTTAGCATAGTGACCTCCAGTCCCTCCTAAGTTAGGTAGTGATTTTCAAAATCATTGCTCCTTCATGCTGTGTAGTATTCCACTGTATGAATGTATCCCAGTTTTTAAATCCATTCAGTTGTGGTTGGACATTTGGGCTGTTTTCATGTTCTTGCAATGGTGAATAATGCTGCTATGAATATTGGTATACATGGCTCCATTTGTGCCTCAGTTCTCATTTTTTCAGGATATATTCCAAGCAATGGAATAGCCAGGTCATGTGTAATTTCTATGTTCAGCTCTTTGGGAAACATCAAACTGCCTTCCAGAGTGGTTTTACCATTTTACAAGCCCACCAGCAGTGTATAGAGTTCTAATCTTTCCACATTCTCTCCACCATTTATTACTTGTGGTCCTGTTGAACTTTACCACAGTTACTGGAGATTGTATCCCATTGTGGTTTTAATTTGCATCTCTCTTATTGCCAGTAATTTGGAACATTTCTCCATGAGTCTGTTGGCCATCTGTATATCTTCCTCTGTGAAAATTCTTTCCATGTCTTTTGCCCATTTTGTAATTGTGTTATCTGTCTTTTTCTTATGGAAGCCCTGTGCAGTTCCGGCTACTTGTTACCAGTCTGTCTTTTATGAACTTTAAGGTTTGGGCTTTATCCCCAGGTCTCTGATCCATCTTGAGTTGATTTTTTTGTATGGTGTGAGATGTGGATCCTGTTTCAGCTTTCTGCATTTAGCACTCCAGTTTTGCCAACACCATTTGTTGAAGATATTGTAATTTCCCCATTTGATAAATTTTATTTCCTTGTCAAGTATTAGTTGTCAATAGACAGATAGATGCATCCATTTCTGGATTCGCAATTCTGTTTTATTGGTTTATGTGCCTGTCGTTGTACCATTATCATGCTGTTTTGTTTACTACTGGCGTATAGCAGTTTATGAATTCAGGGAGTGCTATGCCTCCCACTTCTTTTTGTTTTTCAGAAGTACTTTGCTTATTCAGTATCTCTTTCATCTCTAAACAAACTTGGCAATTTCTCTTTCTATCTCCTTAAAAATGAATTTGGTATCTGTATTGGAATTGCTCTGAACATGTAGATTGAATTGTCAGTCTTTTACTCATTGCACCACTAGAGGTCTTTCAACTCTTATTAAGTTAATTCAGTTATTCCTAGATGCAAATTTATTTTTATATTTTAATTCATATGATAAACCCTACTCCTGTTGTAGTTTTTGCAACCCATTGATTTCAGTATTTACTCTTTTATTGTTTAAAGATTTATAGAAAGTCTTCCTTTTTGATCTTTAAGGATGATAACAAATAATATGGCCTTCACTTTTACAGTTTAACAGACAGAAAGAAGACCTGGACCCAAGAAGCAAGTTTGTCAAGGTTAGCATTCATGTTATTTAACTCATCAACAGTGAGTTTGGAATTTTTTTGAGTGCCTCATGTGAATATCTTGTTTGAAGAGAATAACCTAGTGAGTGAGGAGTTACACTACCAACCCAGAGGCAGGCAGTTCAAATCTACCAGCTGCTTTTCAAAAGATAGATGGGCAATCTTCTCTTGTGAAATTACAGCCCCTGAAAACACCTGAAGGGTAAAATATGAGTCAGTTTCTACTTGACAACAATGTGTGTGTGTGTGTGTGTGTGAGAGAGAGAGAGAGAGAGAGAGAGAGAGAGAGAGAGAGAGGGAGAGGGAGAGGGAGAGGGAGAGAGATACTGAGTCTTTTCACTTTTCAACAAGCTTACACATTTGTGGACAAAGTTTAAGTTGGGGAAGGATAAAACAGTAAACTATGAAGTATGAATGGAGTTGGAGAGCCTGTTGAACACAGTGAGCAGGAGTTAATGAGGATGCAGGCAGAATAGAAAGCAACCTAGGCTTTAGGAAAATGAAAATATCTTTCTGGTCACACTCATCCTTAGGCTCAATGTCCTATCTCATGATAAGCCTTCCCACTTTCTACTTTCCTACTTATGAATAACATACAGACCTCAAGCTACTATCTCACTTCACTCCACAAAGACCTCACCTTCCTCGAATTTCCAAAGAGAAAGAACATGCTAGTCTTAGTACACTGAATTCTTTGCTGAGTGAGGAACTGGGTCCAAACTGCAAATCAAGTCAGCACCAGGGTAAGTGGGCAGGGTTGTGGGGCTAGAAGGGAAGAGAGAGATATGCCCTCTGGGACTAAAACCTCAATCCTGGATTTCCAGCTCCAGAAAAAAATGAGCAAGTGAAGTTGATAACAAACCTGATGAAGGAGATGAGAGTAATAAAATTGTTTCTTTTTGTGTACCAGGTTGTGAAAGCAATGAGGGGAAGAGAGAGCCCTTTGTTCCTATTTCCATCAAGGCCCCAGACACCATCCATGGGTATAATATCTTCAAGAACAACCATGCTTCCTATAAGCACATCATTTGTTGGAAAACTAAAGCCCTTGACAAAGTCTTCAATAGAAGAACAACTGTTGACAGAGGAAGAGACCTCTGCAGTGGCAGAACTACCTAAAGCAAAGGAACCTCAGGAAGCACAGCCTAAGGCAAAGGCAAAGCGACGAAAGGGAAGAAAAAGATATCCCCAGGTCACTCTGGTAACTCCCACCTCTTTCCCATTCCACTACACAGGTACTTTAGTGAGATTGCTGTTGTAGCATCACACCTCACTTCCAGAATCAAAAGTGCCAATGGTTCAGCCACCTGAATCCCCTGGCTAGCGTCTGAGCTAGCCTCTGAACCATACATTCTTCTTAGGTCACTTTCAGATATGTCAAATTTGTGTCCATCTAGGTGGTTTATTTAGTCTTGTCACTAAATTGTAAAAACTAGTTGCCATCCAGTCATCTCTGACGTATGGTGATTCCAACTGTGTTTCCATATATGGTGAGTATTTCAAAAGTAGATCACCAGGTCTTTCTCCCAATGTGCCTTGGGTGTACCCAAACCTCTAATCTTTCTGTTAGCAGCTGAGAGCATTAATAATTTTGAGCCACACAGGGACTCACACTAATCTTTAGTGGATCTCTAAACAGTAAAATAGAAAAGGTACGTTCCAAGCACTTGCAAGAGTGTTATGAACTCTAAGCAGTTGCTGCTCAACATTGATCACAAACTTTCTGAAGAATTCCTGAGGGAAATTGTAGATATACAGTCCACTTACTCATGTAGATATTCTAGAATCAGTAACTGAATTAAATAATACTATGACTATGTAAAGGCATTTGTCTGTGTGGATAATAAATTGTGCCTGACTTTGAGAAGAATGGGAATCACAGAACACTTGATTGTGCTTATGTGAATCCTATACTTGGATCAGGAGGCAGTCGTCAGAACAGGGCAAGTAAACACTGCATGGTTCAAAATTGTGAAGGGTGTACACTAGGGATTTGTCTTATCTCCATGCTTTTTTAATCTATATGCAGAACAGATCATTCAGGAGGTTGGGCTCTATGAGGAGAAGTGTGGCATCTGGATTGGAAGTAGACTCATCAACAGTCTACGTTATGCAGATGATACAACCCTGTTTGCTGAAACTGAGGAGGACCTGAAGTGATTGCTGCAGAAGGTCAATGACTTGTTGTTGTTAGGTGCCATCGAGTCGTAGATGACTTATAGCGACCCTGTGAATGAAAGGCCTGAGCACTTTTCATAGAGTTTTTGGAGGCAAGCCATTTCAGAAGTGGATGCCACTCCTGCTTCCAGGCTGTTTTAATTGGGATTCTTTAGCAAACACTGTCCACTATGGGTAACCATTATCACATTTAGCACATCTGTGTCACAGTGTTCAGCATCACAGCAACCATGAGTTACCTCTGTCTAGCAATGAACAGACCATTGCTATACCACCTAGAAGAATGTTTGACATAAAAAACAATTTGAACCAGGCCTGAGGGCCACAGATTAAAACCACCTTGGGCTTGGTAGCATAATTTTCTGTCCACTAGGCCAACATAGCTTTCTCTATGTCATCATTGTTATTGTTGTTAGGTGCCGTTGAGTCGTAGATGACTCATAGTGGCCCTATGACTACAACTTTAAATATGGATTGAAGCTCAACATCAGAAAAACAAAGATTCTCACCACTGGGCTGATTGACAGCATCGTGATAGATAGTGAAGATATTGAAATTGTATACAGCTTTAGTTTGCTTGGCTCCACAATCAACAGTCTTGATACCAGCAGCCAGGAAGTCTGCTGTCAGAGAACTCTCTAAAGTCCTGAAGAGCAACAGTGTCAGCTTGGAGACCAAGGTACACCTGATCCAAACCATGATCTTTGTAGTTAGTTGCTATGCATCATAAAGCTGGAAAATGACTACGGATGATAGAAGGAAAATTGATGGCTTTGAGCTGTGGTGTTGGAGAAGAGTGTTGACTATGTCATGGACTGCTAAGAGAACAAACATGTTCATCCTAGAGGGGGTGAGACCAGACTGCTTCTTGGAGGCAAGGATTCTGAAGCTTTAACATATTTTGGACATGTTGCAAGGTAGGGCCAGTCCTTGGAGAGGGATATCATGCTTGAGAGGGTAGAGGGAAAGTGCAAGAGAGGAAGACCCTCAATGAGATGGATTAATTCTGTGACTGGGGTAATGGGGGAAGATGTGTCAGAGACAATAAGATTGGCACAGGATAGAGCTGGTTTTAGGGCTGTTGTACATAGGGTTGCTATGAGTTGCAGGTGACTCAATGACACATAACAAAAATAATATAAGCATATATGTAATATATGCTTCTGCTCCTCTTATCCATCTTCCCTCCAAATAAGCAGAAACTTTTACTGTACTTAAGGTAACACCATTGGTCAACACACACAAATGTATTCAGAAGTAGCTCTGATGCTCAGTCATTGTTGTCTTACTTTGGACATAGCTTAGACACTGCTCGCTGTGCTCACACCTTTATAATACTTCAAGGAGGCCTGGTGCCATAGGATATAACATATTGAGGTGCTGCTAACCGAAAGATCAGCAACTGGAATCCAGCAGCCACTCCAGAAGAGAAATACGGGCAGTCTCCCTCTATAAAGATTTACACTTTCAGAAATCTGATGGAACATCCCTATGAGTCAGAATCTATTTTATAGCAGTAGGTTTAGTGAGTAGAGAATATCTGCTGCTCTTTGTTATGGCAATAATTGATTTTTCTAAGTAATTTCTTTGTCTCACATACTTTGGTCATATTGCTAGCAGAGTTTAGTCCCTGGAGAGGGACATTATGCCTGAAAGGATGGAGGAATGGTGAAACAGAAGAAGGCCCTCAACCAGGTGGATTGTGGATGTGACTGCAGCAATGGGCTTGAGTGTGTCAGAGATTGTGAGGATGGCACAGGACAGGACAGGGTTCAGACCTGTCATTCAGAGGGTCGCTGTGAGTCGCATTCAACTTGATGGCACTTAACAAGAGGTAATATATAACTCTGTGGGCACTGTGAATTGTGCAACTAGCCAACAATCCTTTACCATGTTGGCTCTTAGAGACTTTGTTGCACACATGGCGACACAAGTTAACCTTATAGGACTTAACAGAAAGAGCCTCGATTTATATACATCTGGATCCTCCAAATTGTACTCTATGTCTTACTTCTTCTACATGACCCATGTTCTTCCTCTTCCCTACCCACCTCCATAGGAAGTAGAATTTGTACTGATCACACTCAAGACATGGGGAGGAGAGCAGAATGATGTTCCTTGTGTGTATCCTTGCTCAAATGGGGGAAGGAAAGGGCCTCCTTCCAAATGTCTAGAAAGGGAGTAGAAGAGTAAATAAGGAAAGACCAGGATTATTATTAGTGGACCTGAGTCCACTTCAAAGGAAGCAGCAGGAGCTGAGGGAAAGCATTCACACTGGAAGACATTTGACATTTCTGCTTTATAAACCCTTTGGCGATATGGACAGCCCGAAGTGAAGGTAATTTCTCCAAGAATTCAATGGCATAGTGGGGTGTAGGAGTAGAGTTTGCAAATTCAGGAACAGTGACTGGCTTCTAGAAAGGAGATTTCTGTAAGCCAGATTTCGAAAAACATTTTTCTTGCCCTTCATAAACTGGCCTGATTATACAAGGTTGCTGACTGACCTGGTTAGGGAAACCAGCAGGACCATTGGCAAGTCAGAGCCTCAGTGAGCCCTGGGATTAAGGCAGTATCCTGCTCTTAAAGGCTGAGTCTGTGAACACAAAACCAGGTCATCTGCCAGGGTTCTGTGGGCAGAGACTCTGTGATGTCAATGGCAAGGGTTGCGGGGCAGGGTCAGCGACTGGGGCAGAGCAGCTGAACCTCCCAGCCAAAGCTCCCAGCAGCAGGGGAGAGCTGAGCAGAAGGAGCCCAGCCCTACAGCAAACCCAAGGCTTAACTGGGTCCCAGAATTCCAGGGTAGAGGCCTGTGTCTTCATTGAACAGACAGAAACTGAGCTTCCAAAACTAGCCATGAATGACAGACACCTCCCATTATAACTAAACAAAAATGCCCAATATTGGAAGAGACAGATAAAAGAAAAAAAAATGGGCAGTCTCTTCCCATGTGATTTACAGCCTTGGGAACTCAACTGAGAATCAGCTATGAATCCATTACAAATTCAACAGCAGTGAGAATCTCTATTAGTGTAACCATCTTTGCTTCTGATTTTAGTGATTGTATCCTGGTTATTTCCAAAGCTTAACAGTATATTTTGTTAGCGGGAGGGACCTAAAAGTTAAGAAGTAAAAATTAGGTAGATTAGAGAAGCATGAGATGACATAAACTATAATGTAAGTGTTCATATTAATAAACTAAATTACAAATTAAAATATGTTAACAAAAATTCCATTATTCTAAATGTTCCCTTTCATCACCTTCCCTATGTGATAAATGCTTTACTACAGATTAACTCTCTGTGTATTCACTTTGTAGTCAAAATGCCCTCATTTCTCTTTAAAATATGTCACTATATTAAGATTACTGAATTTCTTAAAAATTGTTTTAAAAGGGTTTTATAATACTAGCCTAAGTCAATAACTGAAGGGAGAGGTTGGAGCAGGAACTTTTTACATCAGTCACTTCCCTGATCTAATTAATCATACTTCTCTTTTTGAAATCTGTGTCACTCGGTGGGAACAGCCCATGTGCTGCCCACAGCACAGCACACAGTGATAAACCTAGTGTTTAGCCAGTCTGAAAGAAATGATATGAGCATGGCTGTTTGATTTCTAGTTATGAAAGCTTTCACAATGTCAAATTGGCATTTGCACAGTGCTTTTTGTGTAAAGTTTCTTTATTTTTTTTTTTTTGTTATCTTTAGAACCTTTCAGATGCTAAGGTTTCTTGCAGCAAGGTTAAATTGGTTCCCTAGATTTGTTGTTGTTGCTTTCATCAGAGTAACTAGTTAATTAAGGTTGAGCCTAGTAAATGTTATGCTGGAAGTCTTATGGGCTTCCACAGAGTAGCCTGGTCTATGGTGAGGGACCATATGGTGTGTGCTTAGATCTGTGCGAAGCATTAGGGCTTGTCTGTGTGGGAAATGGGACGTGGGTACAAAGTCAGTCATGTTCCCTTTCTTAGAGTTCTCAACACAAACAAAGTGACCATCACATAGGACTATAATAAAAACTCCAGAACATTCTTTAACATATCTGGGTTGTTAGATTAATATTTTTTTCAGTAGTTTTGCAATTCTGATCAAACAAAAATTTTTTTCAAAATATAGGGTAGATGGGTCAAGGAGAAATGTTTTAAAAACTCAAATTTATCATTCCTTTCTTAGGCATCTCTTTTATTTTATTATACCCAATGTTTATAATCAACTCAGAGAAGACAGTTATATACTTTATTATTTTTTCATCATTCCCCCTTGACTTGCAGGCAAGTTCTACAAGACTGTCTCTGGTGGGTAGAGTTGTGTTACCAATCCAAAGGTGAGAGGTTGGAATCTTCCAACTGCTGTGCTGGAGATGAGCAATCATCTCCTGTGGGATTTACAGTCTAAAAACTGGGTCAACTATGAGTCAGTTCCAATTCGATATGAGCGTGTTCAGTTGATGAAGTAAAACTAGCACTTGCTTACTGTTTAGCAGGAAACACTAGGCAATAGAGTAGCACAGATGTAGTATTGTTCTAGACACATGCAAATGTTTTTAAAAACATATTTATTGTATTTTTACACATTAGATTGACACAGAGAAGAATTTTCCTTATAGTAGATCTATGTTTCATAATATAAATAGCTTTAAAAAACAGATAGTTGAACTTACACATCACAATTTTGTTTTGTTTTGTTTTTTTTATTATTAAATTTTATTAGTTTCAATGAACACTCACAGGGATTCTGGGCTTTCACTCCTTCATTGCCGCACCATTCTCTCCACCCTCCTCCCCAGTTTGTTCTTCTTCCCCACCATCCGAATGTCTGTTTTAATTGTCCAATTGCCACAGTGCTTGTCAAAGTCAGTTCTGATTAATCTCCTTTG